TTTTAGTGTAAACCGTTTGAGAAATTGCGGCCAACGCGAACGGCGTGGCGCCAGCGAAATTCCTGCAGCAAAAGCTCGGGGCTGCAGGGCAAGAAAGCTCGAAGCATCGACCGCATTTCCGCAAGCATTTGATGCTCGAAAACAGGCGCCGCGGCGTCTAGACACCCCGCCGCGTCCGTCCGCAATCGACGGCGGGGTCGTTCCCGTCTCACCCACCGCGACACATTCGCGACGAGAAACAAACCTACTCTTCCCTCCCCCCCCGCGAATATTTGAATATTCATCGAGCCAGAAAAAAATAACAAGCTAGACCGCGGGTGCGTTCGGTGAAACACACAGGTACGTCGCGCGAGAGTATCGCGATAGATCCGCGCGTGATCGAGCCACGCACGCGAAACAATAAGGTTCCTCGCGCGTGAGACTCCTTTTAGCCAACCTCCTCGCGCGAATTTGCGCGAGCGGTATCATATACGCATCACGTACGCGTAATGACGCAAGTAATTTGCAAGTACAAGAGAATACATCATTGCGCGGCAATTAGCACAGAGACGTTTTCATTCTTGCGACTGACATGTGGGAAGGGAAACCGAAGAGAGAAACGCGAGCGTCAATGACGGATGGAGATGTTTTAAGACCCTGGAGGCGATACAATCCGGAGTGGGGCGATCCAAAAGGGAAGCTTAAGAACAATTTAGGATGTCAAATCGAACACGTCCGCGCCCATCCATCTTCGACAGAGGCGCAGATTCGAGAAATCTAGGGGAGCGTGCAATACGTATAAAAATAGACGGAATGTAGTCCATCCGCTTAATATAGATATACGCAAATCAAATCGACAGAGGAATTACGGGCAATTCACTTCATTCGTGGAAGTCAGACTGCGCGATGATATACGTTCATCACATGATATGATTGAGAGACTGATAGCGTGCCAAAACATTGATAAGATAAGTAAATAATGCAAATTCAATTGTTTATCGTAATACGTCGCAATTTGCATACAGATCACCGCCACAAATTACGTAAATTAAAGTAAATTACTCGGTCTGTCAGTTTGCTGGATCTGTTTTATTAGCTCGACTTTCTGTTTATTTTTGAGAGTCACGCTCTTGCGGATTTTTCGAGCTATTTTTTTTTCTTTTAAATTATTCCATATCTATCCAAAATATCTCAAAATCATCGACGGTGATTTATCTAAAATTTCTTGCAATCGTGATCCTTTTTAGTGAATTGATCCTGTATAAATAGTTTAATATTTTAAGCGTGCGCCCGATGGATAAGCCGCTACTGAGACTGTAACATCTAACAATAATCTTGCGAAACTACGCTTTTCGCTCGTTTCTTTCCGTCCCCGATGCGGTAAGAATCCCAGGATACGGATCCTCCTCTGTCCCTCTCTCTCTCCGTCCTCCCTTTTCTCGCTCTCACCGCGCGAGAGATGCGCATTTAATATGGGAGAGTTATCTCCGCTTTTTATTACGTTGCCGAAAGTGGGCCAGAAGGTTATAGCATGATCGCCGCTGAGTACCTGACTATCGTAACTGGGTCGAATACAGAACGTAGAGATTAATTAGCAACTACGTGGTCGCGTAGCGGTTTAGGAACTTAAACCAATATATCGAGAGTTTCAACTGAAGCAGGTCGAGCGCTCCATATGTCCGTTAATGCGATGGCTTTATTATATTTTTTTTTCCTCCGAGCTGTCCGTCGCCGCGGCATTCACGCGTAAGAATAAAGTGAACAAAAATCTATATCTCGAACAAAATTTTTAATCAAATCCATCGTATCCTTCAAAACCTAAATTTTATTTCAAATTCCAGCAGCTACTCATAAAAACAATTATTTTAGAGTACTCGTAATGAAATAGTAAGACCGTATCGTAAGAAATAACTTGCTTTTTTGACTTTTAAACCGAAGGAACATATTTATGCGTGTCATCGCATTTACGAATCCAGGTGTCTTACGGCGAACTTTTTACTCTTTTTTTCTCTTTCTCTCTCGATTGTGTCGTTTACTATAAGTATGCCTTCAGGCAATGCGATATTGTAAAGACGTTTAGAGGATATTTTTCAGACATCTGTCATCTGCGGTTTTTTAGGCCGCATCGACAAAATGATTGATTT